GAGAAACTAAAAAAATTGTATACAGACTTTTTTGGTGATTTTGATTAGTATTGTAACAATAGAAGACAAGGGCCAGGAAACAGATCATTTATTAAGGAAATCAACACATATTTATAGATTTTCATGCACATTATTATGGATTATTGTTAGTAGACAAACACAGTCTTCTGATTGGTGGTTTTTTCTCACTGAAAGTTAATCCTTCATCTGTTTGTGGCTGTTTCTTGAATGTCAGATCATATATATGCTAACTGTATCCGCCTACGCAAAGCCTTTGCTCCCATTTTTCTCACGACCAATATTGGGCACATAAACATTGACGTAAATTACTGTCTACCAATTTGGATAGCAGTCAGCTCTCATCACAGCATAGCTGACAAATGATATCGCTATTTTTCTTTCCATTTGTTTACTTAAAAATCTACGCCTTATTTTTAATTGACACTGGTATCAACATCATCATTGTCTTGCTAATTATGTGTAGCTCCAACTGAGACTATTTTATACTTGATAATTATTTTATGGGTTTAAAAGCCTCTCAAATACCAGTATTCCTTAAGCCAAGTAGTTTCGCCTTAATGCTGCATCATTCTCCATTGTTTAGTGATTGCAAGTGAATTTAGCTATTGAGTAATATGATTTACGAAATTATCACAAAAGACAATCACTACATAATTTTTAATCAGGAACTTAACTTTAAGATAACCAAGCAAAGATTTCAAATTAATTGAAAATGAGTCTTTAGAAATGTAATTCTCAAGAGTCAATTTATTAGGATTTTATTTGATTCAAGTTTGACCACGGATTGATATTATTTAGAGAACCATTGAAAACCAGGGAGTACTGGACAGATGTTTCGTCTTAGTGCTTAGGACTCATCGGAAGGACACATGCACTGTGTTTCGAAAGCATCAGCTTCCAGTTACAAGGCAAAGTCTTGAAATTTAAACCAGTGCTCGCTAGTGACTAACTACAGGACGAGATTGTCTTGGAGTCTTTTTAGTGAGAAATCGTTACCAGTGGGATCCATCCTGTCTGGAGGGCGAGGGAATACTCACCAATGACAATAACCAGTGGTCGCGCTAAAATCATGAATTGGTAGAAGTTAGATTTCATGAGCTGGCCATTGATCGGTATCCAGTGGCTGGATGATCTACTAGATTGTGTTGTACCCAGAAGGTCTTGGATTCGAGCACTGGAAGTGGTTGTGTACTAAGTATGAGTCCCGGACTAGAACGAAACAAGTGCCTGGTACTTCGTGTTGGTTTTCATTAGATCTTTAACTGATGTCAATCCGTGGCCAAACTTGAAAGAAATGTGTCCGTCAATGTATGAGGTAGTTTCTTGTTACTGCAGATTACATATATGACATTTCAGCATTCATTTTTAATAAAATGAATCTAATTGTAGGAATAATTTCAAGAGAGAATTGATTCGTCAAATATTTATTATTATAAATAGTAGTAATCACATCATTTACCCCCAGGTAAGGAGTCTTAGGCATCCTAAAAACAGTTTACCTTGTTCAGATATAAAACCTCCTGTGTTATTCATTTTGTAAGTATATCACTGCAAAATTTGAACTACACACAAATACATGCAAATAGTGTTTGCGGTTTTCCACCTTGATATTTTATGGCTTACGTATCTATCTTGGCGCCAGATATGTACTTTGTTAAAATGAGTCTTTTTTAAACAATTTTTTTCCACTCGCTTCAAACCAAAGTGCAAACAGAGGATTAATGACTTGATTAAAAAATAGTAGGTATATATTTTTTGTGATCTTTTTTGTTTTCATTTGAGCTTGCATGCTCAGCTATGAACGTCTTATTTTTTTCTACTAAATGACTTCACCAGTTTAAGCATAAATATTAAGACTATTCAACAAGTCTTATACTAAATAATTTTCATGAATAAAAAGCTGTTGATGCCAATTATGAATAATAAATTGAGGAATAAGGAATGTGAAATGTGCACTTTTATTTGATGAATTAATCTCGAATTTCTAAATACCGATAACTAATAAAATATTTTAACTCACTTTCATCAATCAATCAAGTCCCTGCCTAAGAGCAGCTGGCTACAAGATGAAGTTTTCTGAAGTACTAGTGAGAAGTTATGTCCAGCTAGGTCCACCAGGCTCAATATCCAGATAAATACTCACCCACGGCATTAGCTGGCTCTCTCTGTCTATATATACATATATTGCCAATTGACAGAAGTTAGAATTAATGAGCTGTTGTATTCCGTCACAGTGGCTGAGTGAACAGCAAGCTCATCTTTTTTTTTATTTCAGCTTGATTCCACACCGTATTTTTGGTACAGGTATGGAATTTTCAGAATGTGATATTGGTAGCCCACATTTTGCAGGCCAACCATTGATATCAGGTGTGCGTCGGCATGGGATCGAACCTCGGACCATGTGCATGGTCGGTGAGAGTCCTAACCACTGTGCCACCGACGCACAATCCGTTAGCAGAGCGTGGTTTCGATCCACGGACCTCTGGGCTATGGGCCCAGCACGCTTCCACTGCGCCACTCTGTTCTTGTAATATTCAGGTCATGAGTTCCATCCCTAATGGGTACATCCTGCTGAGGAGTCAAAAATAAATCAAGGACAGCTATTCAGTACTGTATGGTTTCTAGTAGTTCTCTGACTGCAGTCATTTCACGGTTAATCTTGAAGTCAATCAAATCCTCGAAAACCAGCCTTGTCATTTAGTTATGTTTTGTAGTGTTGTATTTCTACCTTAGTAATTTGGATTTATTGATTGCGTATTAGGCTTTAAGTTACAGATGCTATGTTAATGTGTCGTAATACTGCTAGCTGCCTGTAAAACATGAAGTAAGTTGAGGAAAATGCTACATAAGTGACGTAGTAAGCAAAGATGGTAATTCTGGGTCTCTGAATTTAAATTACATTAGGAAAACGTAGTCACGCAAAACCAGTAATAATAATAATAATAATAAAGGGAAAACATCGTACAGAAAATTTCAGGGCATTTAGTTCCAGAATATTTACTCTTCCTACAGGATTTACATGCAAGCCCGTATGCCAGTCAGCCACTGGGACACAGAGGTTAGGACGCTCGCCGACCAAGCACATGGTCCGGGGTTTAATCCCCGGCCGACGCATTCCTTTACCTCGCTAAGCCAGAAAAGAGGTAAGGTAAAGAGAAAAAGTTAGGCATGAGGTTAGCAACCCCATCCTGTAAAATTACACACTGCTACAGAAACTTCAAACCACTAGCTTGAGGCCCTATGTTCCACTGGGAACGTGAAGGAAAAACAACAGGATTTACATGTAAAGTAATAATCTTAAGTATATCCTGTGACATATTTTTGTTGCTTATGAAGACAGAATTAACTGTGCCTATTGTTTTTCTTCATTTCCTTCAAAAATTGCACAGTATTTTCCAAAAGTTAATTAAATATATGCATGAGTTCATGTTGTGATCATTTGATATAACTGTATGATTAAAACAACAAGAAATGCAAAAAAAGAGAGTTTAAACATTTTAATGGATGGAAATTCTGGTAGTGCAATGATTTTAGCAGGTCACTGAGATAAATTTTGCACACACACATACAGCTGAGCTTCTTTTTTGTTTAGAAAACAACATCAAGTATTGGTTTTGTAAGGATTTTGTTTGATTGTATAGAGGGTTTCATCATGAGCTGACATCAGTTAGAGAACCACTGGAAAACCTGGGAGGGAATACTGGACAGCTGTTTCGTCCTAGTTTGGGACTCTTCATCAGTACGCACCCACCACGGACCTTCTGGTTACAAGGCAAGAGACCTCATACACCATGGTCTATAGAAAAAGTATGATGTTATCGCTGAATAGAATGATAGACATGTTGTGTGTTTGCTTCAATCCGTCGTGAATTTTAATTGACGCCTAGCGAGAGACTTTGTCTCCTCAGTAACTTGTACATCTTTGTTGATTTGTATACTAAAGCTCAATCACTACTTTTCATTATATTTTAAAGTGTTTTCTTCATGATAAACACTTATTCCTTAAATAATATTAAATTAAAATGTTTATGGCTAATATTGTACCTATTTAGTACAAATAACTAAGTACATACTAGATTACTTTACTTTATTTTGTACGAATAAAGTACACTTTGGTAAAATGTCTAGTGGTTAAATTATTATTATTATCTTCCTAATTATGCGAATCTAAACTGATGTTTATGCCTCCAAATTTTTGTTTCGGTTAAATTGAAAGATATTCCAGGTGATTTTTCGAACTTGAAATAATTCTGTTTAACATAAAGGTGAAAATCACTGGTAGAACAATATCATTGATAGCGAAACACTTCGCCATTTATTTCTCATGCGAAATGAAAGTTATTAGGTAGGGATTTATGTTAAAACTCACTATTTGTTCGGTTAAAAGTGATTGGTGTTCTGTTAGTGCATTCTCAAATATATTATCTTCCTTATGTATTTAACTGATCTACATATAGTTAGTTAATCATCCTAGTCGCTGGTTTGACTTTATGCTGAGTGATAATAACTGATTGAGATGTGTGATGAAACTTCGCCAAGATTACTAGCAGGCTCTAAACCCGAAAAAAGAGAGAAGGTTTGAGTGTAGCTAGCGACTCTACCTCAGAAAATCAATTTAGTTGTTACAAAAGATTCAAGGTACAGAAGGAAAAAAAACTTATTCTCCACTGGAATTGGGGACAGAATAATGCTAGCTGGTATAAGCTATCGGGATGTCAGTCAGTCGATGTATTTTCTTTAGATTAAAGGAAAAATAAGTATGGGGACACGAAATGTCCAGATTACAAAAGAAGTGGGAAGATTCTGAATCCCTGCATTCCACTGGGAACTCAAGTAATAATAATGATATGGTGTGTGATAACAGTAGTTTATTCTGAGCTTAATGAAATTTATAATTTTATGAAAATATTGATTCTTTAAATAGCAACTCAACTCGCGAAGTGACTGATAATTTTATTTATTGATTTATTTATTTACAGGATTGCAGAAGCTCTTGTAACAAGTGAAGAATCTCATTTGACATTGTCTAATAATTATGGAAAAGAAAGCACTGATTGTGAACACAGTACGCACAAGTTTGGAAAGAAACTGTCTTCAGAAAACACTAGGTTATTATCTTCACCTCAAACACCCGATGCCACTCTCATCAATCAACCGGTGCTGGAAGGGAGTGAAAAGTTATCCCGGATTCATTTAACTTCTTCAGTTGATTCATCTATATCTAGTCCAGCTTCTGTTTATACACTATCTGCTCAATCAGTAAATTCTTCTAGGATTAGTCCTTATCTACCTGCTTCTTTGAACCCGGTAAAATGTAATGATGCTCATACTTCAAAGCAGGTTCATCAGGGATTATTATATAATTTGCTCATTTCCAAAGAAAATTCTTCACAAAATTCAACATCATCTAAAAATTCACTTTCTACTTCTCCCGGTCAATCAACGACAGAAAATAATGAAAGATTGAGTGATGTACGCATAGACAGTCCTATTTCAAACTCTCCATTGTCATCCTCCTGCTCCTCCTCCTTCATCAATCCTCATCATCATCTGGATACAAGTAATTATTCTACCTCAGTTAGGAATTCAACAGTCTATTCTAATTTTCGTCATCGAGCAAACTCTCTCGGGTGTAAACTTTCCAGTAGTCGTCCATATACTCGACCTCATGCTTCATCTGTTGGTTCTGCTTCCGATTTTTATCCCAGTCTTAAAGCTCGTTTACAACATCGTCGTCACTTGGAAGGGTCGACATCAGACTCACCATTTTCAAAACCTAAAAGTACTCTATATCATAGAATGTTTTCAAAATCCCAAGAGAGTGCAGTGAATAATTCATATATTGATATTCATTCGCATAGTTTGAGTTCTATTTCTTCATCTGGTATATCTAGTCCCCAATTACATCATCAAAGTTTATCAGCGCAATCTAGACTAATGGGTCATTCATCCAATGTGAAAAGTCAAAAAAGTTCAGGATTCGGTTCATTTGGTTTACAACAGTCTCCGCAAACTTCATCCGTTTCAAATGATTCCGGTTCTGATGAACCAATTGATCTCACCGGTTATTCTGTACCTATATCACCAATTATTACTTCATTTTCTTTACCTACAACAACAACAAAAACTACTACTACTACTACACCCGGTGTTATTAATAAACAAAACGGAAATTGTCCTTATGTACAGTTAGCCAAAAAAACTGCTCGTCCGGTGCAAGCACGAATTACCGAGTGGCTACGACAAATTACTGAGTTTGTAGCTCTTTCAACACCCCTTGTTTCTACTTTGAAACCGAAATTATGGACTCCTAATGGACTATCTAAACAAGTACACTGTTTGAATAACGAGAATGACAGTTTCCCTTGGTTATCTTTACTTGCACAATGTTGGCAAAAGCTATTAGCTTTAAGTATGGTTGAACATTCTTTAGATGTTGTTGTTGTTGAAGATCATTCACTTTATGAAGAGGACAGAAAACACCAAGAACCTGTTCAATTAGAAATTCCTTGGTCTCTGCTTCCAGATATTCAAAAAGAGGGGCTAGCTAAGAACAAACGTCCAGATCGGAAATTTGCAAATGAACTCCTTCAATTTTTATCAGAAATACGTCAAGCCGGTCTAAGTTCTCAGGAATTTTATTTATTACGACATGTGATTCTTTTAACAGGTATGTTTCCGGATGTGTTAAATTATTTTCTTTTACCAGCTTCATGGATATCTTGTTTGCTTACGCATGACAGTACTAAATAAGTGCTAAAATACTGGTTTCATAATATTTTGATGAAGCAACACTATAGGTGGCAGTAATGTAGTTTAAGCAATATAAATTGATGATATTAACTTTATACCTATTAAGTACTATCGCCGAACTATTGACGTGCTTAAATGTTTCCATTGTAACAAAAGTTTTACCACTGTATTCCTGGAATAAAATCTGTCTTCACTCAACTACCTTCGTTATTCAGAAAGTTGTTATTTTATATGTTTATCTACTTCCTTTACGATCCGAGTGAACTATAGGGCTTCATGCTTGGGCTTTGAAGTTTCGATAGTGGTAGCTTTATGTTTACTGGTTGGAATTGCTAGCCTCACACCCAAACTTATGTTGTTACTGAGTTTACTACTGTAACAACAGAAGACAAGGGCCAGGAAACAGATCATTTATTAAGGAAATCAACACATATTTATAGATTTTCATGTACATTACTATAGATTATTGTTAGTAGACAAACACAGTCTTTTGATTGGTTGTTTCTCACTGAAAGTTAATCCTTCATCTGTTTGTTTCTTGAATGTCAGATCATATATATGCCAACTGTATCCGCCTACGCAAAGCCTTTGTTCCCATTTTTCTCACGACCAATACTGGGGACATAAACATTGACGTAAATTACTGTCTACCAATTTTGACTAACAGCTAGCTCTCACCACACTATGACAGACTTAAACTTACACGATTTTAAATGTCATTCACACTATATCACTAATGGATGAGATGGTTGCGATACAAAGATGAAATGACCATCTTTCTGAATATGTAGTCTAAATTGATGAATTGACGTTGATCTAACGCTATGTATCGATACTGGCAATGACATCTTCAGACTTAAATCTGCAATAATTTTGTTTGTTGCAAGCTGAATACTTATAAGATATTTAAGAATGATTCTCCTTTAAACCAGCTAACTCACTCAGAGGTAAATTTTGTCGGCTTGAGGATCAGAAAAGACCCAATTAGACAAAGTAAATGTTACTTACTAAATACCATGTAATGATTGTTAGGTCTATTACATAAGTCACACTAGTAGATTGGGATCAGTTAATTTATGAAGTTCTAGATGCTAGCTAGATCGAGAGTGGCTGACCCTGCTTATTTAAAAATCTTCGAAAAGGCTCTGTTATTCTCTTATATGTGCATGCATGTATTCACACAATACGGTGCGATAGAGTAAACATATCAAAAAAGTTACGTGGTCGGGTGGAGAGAAAGGCGTGGGTCATCGAACCTGACTGATAGCTACTAACTTGACTTGTTGGACAGTCTTGCATATCACGTTGATCCAATAACCACACTGGCTGGAACTAATTTCCCTGCAAGTCTTACCACGCCACGAAGATTGTTAGGATGGCGATTGAACTAAAGGCAGTAACCGTCATAGTGTTAGATTTTCTTTTACACTACGCTGTGGGTCTGTGGGCGATGTCGTATTACTGGTGAGTGCGGATGTAACAACAGTAACGTGTTTCCCTCAGATGATCAACATGGCAGGCAGCTATGCTGTCTCTCCACTCTGGATTGAGAGGGTTAGAAAAGGTCAACCGAAAAATTGTACATCCTGACTTACCCTACGGTAGGGCGTAGCCGGGGGGGGGTAAGTTACTAATACGGAACCAATCCAAGAAACCAGTCCAGACAGGCCGTGTGTGACCAGCTAGCCTCAAGCAGTTGTCCCCTGGGCTCTCTGATTACTCAACACTAACCTACTTTCTGTTCAGATACCCCAAGAATAAGTCAACGTCCACGGTATAGGCATCCAAAAAGTAACATCCGCCCACACATTTCCAGAAGCACATGAAGCCCGCCTAAGCATCATACTCTTTTATCCATGTAACCCTCATCATCTTGCCTCCTTACTACAGTCAGTTCTATTCTTGAAACTAGGCAGTCATCTTCATTTCATTCTAGGACCACAAATAACGAGGAAAGCCAGAAAACACCCCCGATAGCCTAGCCTCTTAAAGCCACGTCGCCAACTTCGTACTGGAGCATTCAACGTCAGAACTCTCTGACAAATCGGCCAACAGGCATCAGTAGCAAGAACTCTGAAATCTCGAGCCATGGATGTATGTTGCGTCTCGGAAACACGCATACAAGACCCGAATGTAGTTACTGATTTAACCCCAACCAGCCAACAAGGTGAATATGCAAAATTCACCTTAAGGATATCAGCAGACTTCTCAGCTAGTTTGTGATGACTCGCATGTGTAGAGATATCATTGAGTGTTAGAGCAGGAAAATCACTTGTTCACTGGATCCCAGTAGATACTCGTATGTGTGTGGTCCGTCTGGATGGGTACGTTATAAGAAGGAAGGATGGTTTTAGCTATCGGCGTCTTTTCATAGTCTCCACTTACACCCCAACCAACTGCAGTTTGAATGAAATAAAGGATGATTTCTACCAGAAAATGTCTAGTTTGCTGCCGAAATCGAAACGTTCAGATATAGTTCTTCTGGTAGACGACTTCAGTGTCCAGTTAGGAAGTTATGACAGACTGAGAAGTATGTAGATGGTACGTATGGAGTTCCCAGCACATGAAGAAACGATAACGGTGATCGTCTTCTACAGCTCTGTTCAGATGATTATCTGGCTGTAGTCAGCACTAACTTCAGGCTAAAAGAGAGACACTGCCTAATCTGGCGACCTCCATCACCAAATGAACAACGTTGGCCTCAAATAGACCATATTATGATAGGGTACCGTTGGCAAGGGTCAGTAAAAATCTGCTCCTCCTCCTGGAACACGTGCACAGACTCTGATCACTCCATGTTTCGCGCACGTTTATGCATATGATTAAACCGTCATCAACCATTGTTGGCAGCGAAGCAGTTACGTCTTCAACTAGATGGAGTCTCTGAGTCTCTATTTAAGAAGAAATAGTGAAACGAGAATCTGAAATGGACAGCAAGACTCCTCCTGAGGAAGTCTGGCACAATATACAGCTAGCTGTAGACACATCTGTAAAGGCTGTCAGTAACATAAAACCAAAAGTCAGTAACAGCCAAACTGATTGACGCAACAAGACTGATTCCGGAGACCGCCGAATATGATGAGGAGCGAAAGCTACTCAAACGAAAACTAACACGAAGTCTTCACAACGACCGTGAACAGTGGTGGGCGACAAACGCGAAAGCGATGGAGAAGGCATCAGTGATAGGTAAAATCAGACAACTATTTAGACTTATCAGGGAAATATGTGGTAAAAGGCAAGCGATAAGTGAGGCGACCTCTGAGGAAAATAGCACCATAATTAGCTCCCAAGATAGACGACTGGAAAGTTGGAAAGAACACATTGAGGAGCAATTTAGTTGGCCTACAGCCACGCTCAACCTGCCGAGCATCCAATACATCCATAAATAGAATACAAATACAGGTTCGCCATCCCTAACTGAGGTTACAAGAGCTGTCACTAGTCTGAGACGAGGCAAAGCTGTGGGACCTGATGGAATGACTCCAGAGCAGAGTATTCTGAACATCTTGAGCTGCAATCTTCGAATGTTTGGTATGCGATTCGCTTCCGCCAAATATAAGATAATGCTACAGGACTGATTGGACTACATAGACTGACTCGTAGTTTAAAGATAAGGAGTAAAATGGTTGGTGGGTCACGCTGACCACTTCACTTATTTGCGGAGTTGCATCAGCCAGTGCCAACGAGTTGATCACTGAAGAAATCTATGCACGGATACACAACACTCGTTTGGCATTATACCAATTTACGCCATATCTGGCGTAGGCGTGATACCCGGCTGACTTTCGACCAAAGGACGTGTTTACTGTTCAGAAGTGCGCTCTTTCCTGCTTTATGGCTGTTAGCGTGACATGACCATTGAAAGTGGAAGACATGAAAAGTCTGTTTAGCTGTCTTTGATCACAGGTGTCTGCGTTCTGTTTCCCGAGTTATGTGGTATAATAGGATGAGCAATATTGAGGTGATGTATCGGTCGAGTGCTAGGAAGGTGGGAGCGGACATCAATCGACGAGGTTGTTAAGTTACATCGACTGAGGTGGTTAAGACATGTGCTACGCATGTTCAGTCTAGCCATCGCCTTCCTCGACCAATGAGCAATGTTAGCTGACATAGGCTGGATCAGGTTGGAAGTGAGTGAGTGAGTGAGTGAGTGATGGTCAAACCAAAACATGGCTTCATCAGTCAATGAAATCCACAACAGTCAGTTTAAACCAACCGGACAGCCATGTAGGGAGGTGTAGACTGCTTGACTGGTTGAGGTCCTCGGGATGGTGAAAACCAATGACGGCTGGAGACAATCAGTGATATGGCTCAAAATCGTTCTCAGTGATGTAGCAGATGCATTCATCACTCTTTGTGGTTTATAATATCCAATTAAACTATATTGTTCTTCCATGTTACTATTCTTTTCTCCTCATATTTCTGTTTATTGTCTTTCATTTTAATTTCTCGTTACTGTCTTCTGTTGCTTTGTGTGCTACACGAAGGGAGTGTGGTAACTGGAATTGCTGCACATCTGTGCGAAATTCTACGTTGAAGACAATCAGGCACTGACTCAGAGTCGTCGAATTTCTGTTCATCGAGTGAACAGTCAGTTGTATGTAATATGAATGACGCAACACCTATTCGGCATAAATGAAAAAAACAAAACTTAACTAAGAACAAGAGGGAATGAAAAAACAAACACATACTGCAAGTTAGAAAGCCGTCTCAGTATTCTGATATGATTATGAGCAATGAATGAAATAATTTGTGCACTTAGATGACCTATTCATGAATTCCATCCATTCTACAGTGCAATTACTAATGTAATCTTCACTATACAGCTAGAGTTATTTCTATGTAGAAATTGTAAAATGTTTATCACTTACCTTTTATTATGTCGTCAGTTTCGCTATCGATTCAGCTTGGAGTCTGCCCTACTAAAACAAAACAAGAAGTAAAAATATGGTACTTATCTAGTGTGCATTTACTTTTGATACTTTATTAACTGACGACTACTGTTAAAGATTTCTGTCATTAGCATACTCCATGAACACTTCTTTTTTTTTTTTTCTTAATTTTATCAACAGTTGATGAACCTGATACTTTACCAACATTGGGTTTGAATGTTATTCGAGCTTCACGATGTATGGATAATCCTAAAATTGATCAATCAAATACTGTTGCCAGCTTACTAAAAGATGGAACTCAGGTGTCAAATCTATCTCAAGACAGTGTCCCACCAACTGTCACTTTTGATTTGGCGTGTTTAGCCTGTGGATTGAAAGCACTTCGAGCAATGTGTCCATATCGAATAGCAAGTTTATTTTGTAGTCATCTACGCAATAGTTCAATTTTGAATCAAGCTTTCATTCTTGAAATGCATATGAAATATCTGTCAGCTCTTAAAGACCTGCAAACACTGTCGGCTTCAACACAAATCATCTCTAATATTCCTGTTCACAATGGTAATAATAATAATAATAATAACAATAATAACAGTACAAATAATAACAATAATAGTAATAATAAACACTCTCCATTTGAGAAGATGTCTGTAAACAAGAAGAGTATTTTAGAACAGCTGTTCGACAGTGTTTAAAACTCAAAACTGTAACAGTTTCTTCGCTCTTCACTCTGATTTAATGGTATACACCTATTAATGTCTCTATAATGTCTAAAATATCTTTATGAAATAAGGGTGAACAGCGAAAAAAAGAAGAAGGAGAAGAAACGGAATGATGATTTTTGATTTTCTCAACACTATCATACAATTTGTTTTAAGATGTTCTTTTCGTGTTTACTCATAACTTTTCAAATTAGGGAATGTTTATTATTAGGCCTGTTGTTTTTTTGTTCGTACTATTATTGTTTTTATTAGTATTACTAATACTACCACCACTACTACTACTACTAATAATAATAATAGTAATATTACTACCATTTTTATTTACTTAACGTACTTAATTGGTATTGCTTTTTAAAATAATGGAATTTTTGTTCTTTTGAGATTCAATAAAAACTTCCTTCTTTAATAACTTTGAGGTTATTTCTTGTTTCTCAGAGCATAGAGCTTGAATCCAAACCTTCAATAATTAATGGTAATAAAAATAAGAAGAGTTGTATTATTATTATTATTATTCTATCCTTTAATTCCTAGAGGAACATAGGGCTTCAGCCGCGCGTCTCTCTTGCCTTCGGTTGTCTGCCAACGTCTTCACCCAGTTCCAAGTCTGCCCACGTGCTTTCATCTCGTCTTCGCTTGACCTCCTCAAAAGTCACCCTCGCACTGACAACCAACTCTCCGCTTCCCTTTCGGGTTCCACTCGAGCAATGGCTGGTCTAGGGATGTCACTTGATGGTTTCCTCAGCGTATGGCCAGCCAATCCATCTCCATTTCTTCCTGCCTATTTGTTTCACAATCGGTTCCTGCGGGTTGGTTCGCTCACTGCCAGAGATCCCACCCTGTTGCTGATCTTTTCTGGCCGGCCATCTGATCTTGAGTGGTATTGAGCGAAGACAACTGTTAATGAAGGTCTGTAGTTTGTTTGAGATGCTCTTTATGACGCGCGCCAAGTCTCTGATCCGTATAGTGAGTAGCACTGACTGACTTCACATTGGAGTTGAAAATCCGGATCTTATTCTCATTTTCGTTCTGAGTGCTGTTGACCTCCACACAGAGAGTAATGGAAGCTTGTCTTGCTTCCCAGGTCGGTTGGGAAAGGAAGTTATTTCTTTCAGGTTCCTCCCATTTATGCTGGCTGATTGTTGTCTGTTGTTGTTGGCCAGGAATCTTCATCACCTCTGTTTTATCTATGTACAGCTGAAGAGAAGGCCTATCTTTGATGCTTCTTCTCCCAACTTGTTGCTTTTCACTTGCATATCTTCCATTTTGTGGGAAATCAGAAGGGTTGAGTAGTCATGTTTTAAATTTCTGTTTGCAAAAGTGTTAAACTGGTCATCTAGAGGCTGTGCGTTGTCAGTGGAACAGCAGTAGAACGCTCTTCAACCAAGCAGTTGGTTCCCCGGTTCGATCCCGGCCGGCGTACTCCTTTACCTCACTAAGCTAGTGATAAGACTGGTAAAGAGGTAAGGTTGCTCATGAAGCTAGCAACCCCATCCTATACCGAAACTTCAAAGCTCTAGCTTGAAGTCCTATGTTCCACTGGGAACATAAAGGAATAAAATAATAATAATAATAATAGAGGCTGTTAATTTGAATTCTACCACAACTCACTTCAGTCATCGCCTAATTAACTAAAATAAAATAATAATAATAACGACAAAAACAAATGAGTACGTTTGTCGGAGTTCGCCCTGGAAATAGTGTAGAGGCGAACAGTTTGTTTTCTGTGATATCTAATTTCCTGCTTTACAATATTGCAAAAGGTTTTCACCTAAATAGTCTGAAAAAAGCAGTTGAACTTTTCAGATATTCCGTGTATAACTTTTGTTTAGAATGCCATACATTTCACACTTTACTAGTGACTTGAATCTCAAGAATTAATTGAAGGAACATTCTTCAAGGATAATAATGTGTCTTTAGATATAGATATGAAAGTAACATTTACTGAAAGTATGTGAAACAGCGAAATGGTTTTCAGCCGTGCTCAATACAGATGAATTAGGAGTTCAACAGATGGGGATTTCTTCCAATTTTTCATTTTTATTATAGCTTGATTCCATACCGTATTTTTGGTACAAGTATGGAATTTTCAGAAATGTGATATCGGTAGCCCAAATTTTGCAGGCCGATCATAGATATCAGGTGTGCGTTGGCAGAGGATCGAACTCAGGACCATGTGCATAGTCGGCGAGAGTCCTAACCACTGTGCCACCTGCGCGATTTCAGCACTTCACTAAGAAGACGTGTATATGATATCTTAAAAGATTTATACCATGTAAAATAATGTTGTTTCCCAAACAGCTAATAAAAAAAAATTTAAGTTCATTTTCACCTATATATATATATATTCGAAAGATAAGTTTTACTCATTAAGTTACCATTAAAGTTTTCCATTGCCAAGATATTCTTATGTGTATTGTAGTCGCCAGACTAAATGGACTAGAATTGGAAACAATAGCTGCATAGGTCATAATTCGGAACTAACTCTTGGTCAAGCGTTTCAGTCGGGTTTTTTATATCTAGTACCCAACTTTTTCCATTAGCGTGCCTTATTTTCAGCACAATGACTGTGAGCTTACTGTTTAAAATCAAAATAAAGAGGGAATGCTACGGAATTTTTTATAATTCTGTAGATTTATGTTGATGATAAGTGATACAAATCATGTAAAATAGCATACATTTGTGTATAGGAATTTATAAATATTCAAAGTTAAATTATTCTCGGGAAATTCAAATGAATTTCTAACAGCCCTGTTTTGTTTTGTTTTTTATTTCACTGACGACCAAATTCACGTACGTACGTATTGACTTAGAGGTCACAACGAATGTGGTGATTTTAGTTTATTCAGATTTATCCGGCTATCAACCAAGGGACGTGTGTACTGCTCAGCAGTTTGCCCCGTCCTTCTCTATGGCTCTGAAACATGGCCAATACGAGTTGAAGACATGAAAAGGTTGACTGTTTTTGATCGTAGATGTCTACGATCTCTTCCTCACGTTAGGTGGTTTCACAAGGTAAGTAATGTTGACGTTAGGCGTAGTGTTGGGCAAAGAGGGAAAATCAATCGACGAGGCTATAAAGTTACATAGATTGAGATGGCTAGGTCACGTGCGCATGCCTAACCATCGCCTCCCCCGACGGGCATTACTAGCTGATATAGGTGCAGGTTGGAAAAGAGCCAGTGGTGGCCAAACAAAAACATGTCATCAATCCATGAAATCCTTGACAGTTAAACTGAGTCAGGTAGGGAGATGCAGACTTCCGGGTTGGGGCCCTTGGGACTGTAAGAATCGATGGCTGGAGACAATAAGTGACATGGCTCAAAATCGTTGTCAATGGCGCAGATGTATTCAGTCTCTGTAATCTTTCATATTCCTTTCTACCATTACCCATTCTGTTTCACTCATATACTTGTCAAACTCTACTGATTCTCTTCACTCATCTTCTGTCTACCTTTGTGTGGTATTTGGAACGTGACAACTCGAACTGCTGCACTTGGGTGCCAAGTTCTATGTTGAATCCAGACAGACAGATTCAGATTTATCACTTATGTCATAACAATAAAGCTGAATAGGAGAAGGATGTATTATTTCAAGACTGTAAATCTGCCTCAAATATCCAACTCATCAACACCTTTCGCTTGAAAAAAGAAAAACTAATAACAAAAAGATCAGATGTATACTAATCAGAATTTCCAAATAATCTTGAAACTTTCTTTGGCTGATAATCAAATCAGCCCATATCACCTCTCGTGGATAACTACGATTTGATCTGTAAAAAGTTTACAAGCGAACACAATTAGCAATTCAAAGTGTAATTCTTTACGGCTAATTAACAGCTGTTTTAAGTGTTGGTTTGTAGGGATTTGGTTGGTTACAGGATGAACATTTAAATATCGATGAGATGCTCACTGGTGACTGGCCCTATTCAGGTAGGTAGTTACCTGGGGTTCTAGTGAGAAGTCGTGACCAGTAGGGTGCAGCCGGTCGGGTGTGAGGACAAATACTCGCCGAAGATATTGGCTAGCGGTCGCGCTATGTCATGAATTGGTAGAAGTTAGAATTCACGGGTCATTGGATCGGGTCCCAGTGGCTTAATGGTATATGAGCTCGCCTTGTAATCAGAAGGTCCTGGGTTCGAACAGTAGTGGTAGGTGCGTACTGTGAAGAGTCCCAAACTGGGATGAAACAGCTATCCAGTACTCCCTGCAGGCTTTCCAGTGGTTCTGTAACTAATGTCAGCTCATGATGAAATCCTGTAACAGCTGTTTTTCTAGTCTAGTCAGTTAACACTTTTCACAGTTGTGAAAATCTTCAGCACGTTGTATTCACAACCTCAAAAAAAGAGTTGAATTTCATCAGGTTTATAGGAGATCAAGTAACCCTTCATTCACAGATAGATCTAGTGACTAATTGATGTCATATTGAAAGTTTTCGTAAAATAAATACCACTGAAAAATCATTTCATTCCATCTAGTCTCAACTCATCTACGACCCGTCAAAATTTCTCAGATTTCAAGATTAATCATGAACTGACTTCAGTTAGAAGACCAGGAATACTGGAAAGCTGTTTTGTCCTTGTTTGGTAGTCTTCATCACTACGCAACCATGACGCTGCCAAGAATCGAATTTGATACCTTCAGCTTACAAAGTGAGCTCGTTAGCCATCACTTAGTACAGTGGCATTTCACTTATTTTAAGGAATTCAAATATCTAGGTTAGATTATCTTGTCCACTAAGTAAGTCTTAATACGATAAACAGGTCAAAGGTCATTTATTTGCATAAACTGCTTCTTTGTATATATTTTTTCTCTATTATTGAAGGTGACTCACCCAAAACGTCATTAATGAGGTCAATGTATAAATATATATACATATATATATTTATCGATCGAAATCTTTGTTCTAAAGTAGAGTAGTATAATAAAACTTGTGTGAAAGAACTTTTTGTGTTTGATACGCACCAAGGCATATAA